AAGTTTGTAATAAAAGTTTGTAATAAACGTTTGTAACAAATGCTTGTAACAAAGTTTGTAATAAAAGTTTGTAATAAAGCTGTTAATAAAAACAATGTAACCATGTAATAAAACTTTAAAACCGTGTATTACATGAGTTTTAAATTCCCTCTTGTGTGGGCTATCGAATTCTAAAGATGCGCATTTTACTGCCAAGGGAAATTCCCAAAATTACCGCAACAAAACTCAGAACTGTTTGTCCGTTCAGCAAAATCAGTAGCTCTATAATCCACATACGATTGTTTCTATAACATACATCTGGTAACATTTTCAAAATTATCTGCACATAATTACAAGATAAATTTAGGACATTTTTAAAATTAACACGGTAAAAACTATAAGAACTTTAGAGATCTAGAGCTTAGAATTTTTATCTAGTTAAATGACAATTAAAGATGATAGATTCTAGGTATAGGCTGCGTGTGTATAGTGTATACAGTTCAGTTTGGGCTTGCACTGTTTTTTAGATAAATCTAGTCTAAATAAATATAGTTACATACTATCTCAAAAAAGAGCACTAGACATTTTTTTTTTTTAATTTTACACAATTTATTTACAATTCATTGATTATGATTGAGATGATTTATGAAAAGTGAAACACGACAAACATCTTTTACTCAGCCCATCATTGCATGCACTGGGCATATGTACAGACGTAATACAGTCGCATTCCTTCCTCAGCTTTTGTGCTGTGAGATTGGAAGAAAAAATGCTTCTCTGTTAACACATTTAGGACATGGATGATCCTCTGTTCTATGTAAAGTTGTGTCAGCTGTAACATCTCCAACAATCTGAGTTAATTCATCAACTTCATGCATAATTTTATTAACATAAATACATCTGTTGTCAGTTCCTGCAAGCATATAGTTCTAGTTTCTTTGTCTTCTTTTGGATATAACATGTTGTTGCATTCCTTGCAGAAACGAATACCAACAAAGCCAGGTCCTTCTGTGTGTTCCTCAAAAATATCCATAGCAATAGATTTATATCTAACGATTATCTAGATCTAGAGTCTACAACTTTATTCGATAAAAATAATCTAGGGCATCCAGATGTAGAATCTAAATTATTCTACATTTAGATCTACTACGAAGTTTTGTTGAATAAGCGGGCTGGATATCGTATAATGTTTTCAGCTGGTTTCAATTTTAGAGTTATGGTCAGGTATTAAATAATACGAGCCGGCCCGCGGCATAACATACGCCGCTATTTGGTTGTTGTTTTTTCTACTTTTCAGTCATTCACAATTTGTGAATTCGACAGTACCAACGCTGACACTGAAAATATTTCTTTAAAACACTATAAGTAGCTCGTTAAGGACCATACCCCCCCTTCCTCCCCCCCCCCCCCCCCCCAACGTTTAAAATCGTTTCAAACTAAATTATCTGCCCCTAATAGCCTTCACTAAACCCGACTCCACGAAGGTAAACATAGCGTGAACCACAGCTCACTAAGACCATGTAGGGGTGGGGATGGTAGGTAGCGCGTTTACAGCTTGTTCTCCAGCGTCTCCCAGAAGAGAATTATATATATAGATCGATAGATAAAGACTAAACTTGAAATCATGAATAGTTCTGGGTTTTTCATGGCGGCCTATACAAAATGTTTTATTTCTTATTTAGAGTAAACTTTTAATTTGTATTACTATTTACAGCATTACATATTGTATAATACTTCTTGAATAATACATCTTGAATGATACATCTTCTATAATACATCTTGTATAATACACTTGCTTCTTTAGATAAATACTACAATGTTAGTTCTGTCATTTTTAAGCACGAATATCTTTGAATGTGATTATTTGAATCGTATTTTTAAATTACTTCGTTTTACATACAGCAGAATGTAGAATTTGTAGTCATGGGCAGTTTTTCTTCCAGACTTTTTTCTCCGGGGGGGGGGGCACTTGAAATTTTCGGGGGGGGGGGGGGCAGATACTGTTAAAAGTATATATTTTCTATATACATTCCATTTCGTTTAGTGGGGGGCTCTGTCCCCCGAAGAGATGCCTGAAAGAAACTCTGGTCATGGGAGAGGAAATTCAAGCAGTTCACCATCGTTATCTATTCTTGTTATGCCCAGACACATGCGGCAGATGAAGTAGAGTTTAACAGAGTAGGTTAAGATGTTTTTTTGCTGTGTGTTTTGTGCCTATAACTATTTATGTATATTTGGTTTCATCCACAGAGGCACTGCGTTCATTCTCAAGCTGTCGTTTATTTATTCTGTTCATCATGCAACCTGTTATGTACGTGATTTGGTTTTTGGTTGGTGTTCTGTTGTCCTTTCTAATGGATAGACGGAAAAAGAAAACTGGCCGTAACAGAGCATGTAAGCAAATGTTTGTACATCCTTGCACGTTGTATTACAGACAGGGCGTAGGCAAGGGGAGGGGGGTTGGGGGGAGGGGGTTAAACCCCTCCCATGGACCACTACCCTATATATGATTTTATACATAAGGAAAATGTTTGAACCACACTTTCTGGCTGCGCCACTGATTACAGCCCATGCATATAGTAAAGTAGCAAAGTGTAGCGTGAATTAGCGTTGGTTTACAAAGGCTTGTGTGATGTTTCCGGTACCCGGAGCGAACTATCAACTTGCTTCCCCCCCCCCCCCCTCTCCCTTCCCCCAATTTATAAACAATTCTTTCCGTTTGCTCAAAGCCCCCTTTCCCCCTTCTACCCCGCTCGTTTTAGGAAGGTCGTGGGAGTTTGTTACCAGTCACTGTTCCTTAAGTTTTTTTTTAGTTTGGTGGCACACGATTGATATAGAAAACTTCAATTTTTAAAGCTAAGTAAGAGTATATTTTCCAACTTCGAATGTGTACACTCCCGTAAAGCAGTTCTTAATCTTAATTTTTTTCTAACCTGTTTTGTGACCCCTAGGGTCTGCACCAGGGGTGGGGTGGGGGTGGGGTTGCCATCCCAACCGCCCTTCCCTAGCTACGCCTCTAGTAAGTTATTTCCTAGCCTAACCTATATATTTTGGTTCTATCTTCTAGCTAAGTTTCAAACGAATAGGTCTGTTAGAAATCTAAACACGTATACTGATTCGATTTATTTTTGAGGATTATAACAAAAGGAAGGTAGACGCGCACATTCTGGCTAAATACAATAAAAATTCAAATTGTTTTTAATTTTTTTTCAATAATTTGTATAGACCATATAGCCGACCTCAGTTTCTCTAGTTAGATCTTTGTAATTTTAAATCTAAGCAACGTTCGTCGCCGATGCAGTTTCGTCTCTTCTGTATTTCTGTATTTAGCTTTATTCTGTTTTTATGTGTCTTTCTGAAATAGAAACGGGGGAATAAGACTTAATGAAACAAACTAGATGCTTTCAAAGGGACGGCGTGACCTAGCGGTAGAGAGTCTCGCGTTCGAATCCGGGTTCAAATCAGTAGAACGTCTCTGAGTCAACCCAGTTCTGAAGGGTACCTAACATACGTTCGTGAAACAAAGGCGGCTGGGCATAGTGCTGACCACACCTATCCCGAGGTCTTTGAATCAGATAAACTCTACCTCATGTCCACATGTGTCTTGAGGATTAACCAGATTAAGAAGAGAATTTTTATAATTTAAAATGCTGCTATAATTTTAAATTACATGTTTTTATTTTAAAGACCAACACACTTGTATTGTTTACTATGATTTATTTTATCACTATTTAAGACCCCATTTGCGCCATTATAGTTCTTCACATAAGCGTGTTGCGAGGTCCTCAGTGCCTATTTAGTGTTTGTTTTATTTAATAGTGTTATAAATTTTATTTATCCCTTTGAAATAAAAACAAGGTTGAAAATATTAGATAATTTTATAATTTTAAAGTTTGCTATAATAATAAATCGGGTTTTACTTTTAATTTGTTATTTAAAAGCCCAACAGAGCTGCATTGTTTTCTAATTATGTATTTTATCACAACTATTGGTCAGCAGCAAAAGAAAATTAAAAATATTTAATAAAGTAAATTTAATTGGGTTAGATTTACAATACGTTACAGTTGGATTATTTTAATTCTTAAAGCAGAGTTAGGTCAGTTTAAATGGGTATGGTACTAAGTTTAGATTGAGATTGGTTAAGTGTTTTTACATTTCGAAAGGATTACAAATATTCTTAGCTAATAATGTTCCGTAAAGTATGTAAGGAATTATTTTTATTTCTAACAAGTAGGTCTTTACTATTTTGTGTATTTTGCAATATGCGTTAGCTATTTACGTAAATGTGGGTATTAGTTTAGGTTACGGTAGATTAGCTTAAGCGCTGGATTAAGTGTTAGAGTAGATCAAACAAACTATTAGTAAAGTGATATAAATTAATTAACGCATTTAGCTTAGGTTAAATGAAAAGTTTGCATTTGGTGATTTGTATCAGCTGTGTGAGGTGCGTGACAGGACAGTGGGATAAGAACGGTTCTAAGGTTAACCTTAATAATCTGTTACTTACTCGCGGTTTCTCTACCCCCCCCTCCAAGTACATGCATATGCTCACGAACGTGTATGCGTATACCTGGACGTGTACGTGTACGTGTACGTGTACGTGTACGTGTACGTGTACGTGTACGTGTACGTGTACGTGTACGTGTACGTGTACGTGTACGTGTACGTGTACGTGTACGTGTACGTGTACGTGTACGTGTACGTGTACGTGTACGTGTACGTGTACGGAGACGCAGACGCAGACGCAGACGCAGACGTAGACGTAGACGTAGACGTAGACGTAGACGTAGACGTAGACGTAGACGTAGACGTAGACGTAGACGTAGACGTAGACGTAGACGTAGACCTAGACCTAGACGTAGACCTAGACGTAGACCTAGACGTAGACCTAGACGTAGACGTAAACACAGACACAGACACAGACATCAAAGACAGACAATATATATATAATTTACATATATATAAATATATCATTTACAATTACATTACAATATATAACTCCACCCTTTTTTCTTTGCCAGTTAGGGGTTTCATGAGACGTCTGGGGCTTGTACCTAATCAGCCCCCTGTCCCACCACAGCCCGTACGTCGTAGATCTTTTCAGCGACAGCTGTTTGTTAATGGTTAACTTGTAACCATGAAACTGTTTTTAAAAAACCCTGACAGTTTTGATAAGTAGTTTTCTTTATTTGCACTGTGGGTTATTTGTTATATAAGTTAGCCTATTTGGTGTAAAAATAGTTCAAATAATTCAGCATGTTTTTATTATAGTGTTTTGTTATTTTAAAATATTTTTAAATCATAGGCTAATACATGATTAATTTTTTTTATATACTAACGTACTGGATCCTGTATTTTCGAGGAACTTTGACTGTGGTATATTAATATTCATATTTTTCTTCCATTATTCAAACTAATCAATTTTTTTACAAATTAGTTATTTTCTTTTAGAAGATGTTCTATTAAAAAAAGAGTTTATATATTTTGACCACAGTGTTTTCAGCTTTATTCTTTATTTGTCAGTTGTTGTTTTTATCACTGGTGTAAAACAAGGAAGACAGCAGGAACGAGAAAAGTTCCATCTTAGCAAGGGATTCCCCAAGACAAATTCTGCGACCAATAGAAAACGGCATGAGCTCTTCTCTCTTCACCAAATTTCCTTGCTCGTCTGGAAATCTCTCAGGATATAAATTCCCAAGATCTCCCCAGAATGAAGTCGAGGTCAGTGTTTCTTCCAGACTTTTTTCTATGGAGGGGGGGGGGCACTTGCTATTTTCGGGGGGGGGGGTCAACATTTTCCGGGGGGGGGGGGGGGGCAATGGTAAAAGTATATATTTTCTATATAAATCTATATTAAGCCCCCCCCCCCCACCCCCCCGAAGAGATGTCTGGAAGAAGCTTTGGTCAAGATTATCTGGGTTCCTTATGAAATATTAAAGGCCACGAGAACTGTGCCTTTGCTACACAAATGTGGGACAGGGCTAGCCATTTCCTGAGTCTCCACAGTGTTCTAGTGATTTAGCTAGCCTACTGAAAGTGATACAGCTAGCCTACTGAAAGTGATACAGCTAGCCTACTGAAAGTGATTAAGCTAGCCTACTGAAAGTTATTTTAGCTAGCCTACTGAAAGTGATTTAGCTAGCCTACTGAAAGTGATTAAGCTAGCCTACTGAAAGTTATTTTAGCTAGCCTACTGAAAATGATTAAGCTAGCCTACTGAAAGTTATTTTAGCTAGCCTACTGAAAGTGATTAAGCTAGCCTACTGAAAGTTATTTTAGCTAGCCTAATGAAAGTGATTTAGCTAGCCTACTGAAAGTTATTTTAGCTAGCCTACTGAAAGTGATTTTAGCTAGCCTACTGAAAGTGATTTAGCTAGCCAACTGAAAGTTATTTTAGCTAGCCTACTGAAAGTTATTTTAGCTAGCCTACTGAAAGTTATTTTAGCTAGCCTACTGAAAGTTATTTTAGCTAGTCTACTGAAAGTTATTTTAGCTAGCCTACTGAAAGTTATTTTAGCTAGCCTACTGAAAGTGAATTAGCTAGGAAACTGAAAGTGAATTAGCTAGGAAACTGAAAGTGAATTAGCTAGGAAACTAAATGTTATTTTAGCTAGCCTACTGAAAGTTATTTTAGCTAGACTACTGAAAGTTATTTTAGCTAGCCTACTGAAAGTGATACAGCTAGCTTACTGAATGTGATTTAGCTAGCCTACTGAAAGTGATTAAGCTAGCCTACTGAAAGTTATTTTAGCTAGCCAACTGAAAGTTATTTTAGCTAGCCTACTGAAAGTTATTTTAGCTAGACTACTGAAAGTTATTTTAGCTAGTGCACTGAAAGTTATTTTAGCTAGCCAACTGAAAGTTATTTTAGCTAGCCTACTGAAAGTTATTTTAGCTAGACTACTGAAAGTTATTTTAGCTAGCCTACTGAAAGTTATTTAGCTAGCCTACTGAAAGTGATTTAGCTAGCCTACTGAAAGTGATTTAGCTAGCCTACTGAAAGTTATTTTAGCTAGCTTACTGAAAGTGATTAAGCTAGCCTACTGAAAGTGATTTTAGCTAGCCTACTGAAAGTAATTTAGCAAGCCTACTGAAAGTTTTTTTAGCTAGCCTACTGAAAGTGATTTAGCTAGCCTACTGAAAGTGATTTAGCTAGCCTACTGAAAGTTATTTTAGCTAGCCTACTGAAAGTTATTTTAGCTAGACTACTGAAAGTTATTTTAGCTAGCCTACTGAAAGTTATTTAACTAGCCTACTGAAAGTGATTTAGCTAGCCTACTGAAAGTGATTTAGCTAGCCTACTGAAAGTTATTTTAGCTAGCCTACTGAAAGTGATTAAGCTAGCCTACTGAAAGTGATTTTAGCTAGCCTACTGAAAGTAATTTAGCAAGCCTACTGAAAGTTATTTTAGCTAGCCTACTGAAAGTGATTTAGCTAGCCTACTGAAAGTGATTAAGCTAGCCTACTGAAAGTTATTTTAGCTAGCCTACTGAAAGTGATTAAGCTAGCCTACTGAAAGTTATTTTAGCTAGCCTACTGAAAGTGATTAAGCTAGCCTACTGAAAGTTATTTTAGCTAGCCTACTGAAAGTGATTTAGCTAGCCTACTGAAAGTTATTTTAGCTAGCCTACTGAAAGTTATTTTAGCTAGCCTACTGAAAGTTATTTTAGCTAGCCTACTGAAAGTTATTTTAGCTAGTCTACTGAAAGTTATTTTAGCTAGCCTACTGAAAGTTATTTTAGCTAGCCTACTGAAAGTGATTTAGCTAGCCTACTGAAAGTGATTAAGCTAGCCTACTGAAAGTTATTTTAGCTAGCCTACTGAAAGTTAATTAGCATGGAAACTGAAAGTGAATTAGCTAGGAAACTAAAAGTTATTTTAGCTAGCCTACTGAAAGTTATTTTAGCTAGACTACTGAAAGTTATTTTAGCTAGCCTACTGAAAGTGATACAGCTAGCTTACTGAATGTGATTTAGCTAGCCTACTGAAAGTGATTAAGCTAGCCTACTGAAAGTTATTTTAGCTAGCCAACTGAAAGTTATTTTAGCTAGCCTACTGAAAGTTATTTTATCTAGACTACTGAAAGTTATTTTAGCTAGCCCACTGAAAGTTATTTTAGCTAGCCAACTGAAAGTTATTTTAGCTAGCCTACTGAAAGTTATTTTAGCTAGACTACTGAAAGTTATTTTAGCTAGCCTACTGAAAGTTATTTAGCTAGCCTACTGAAAGTGATTTAGCTAGCCTACTGAAAGTGATTTAGCTAGCCTACTGAAAGTTATTTTAGCTAGCCTACTGAAAGTGATTAAGCTAGCCTACTGAAAGTGATTTTAGCTAGCCTACTGAAAGTAATTTAGCAAGCCTACTAAAAGTTATTTTAGCTAGCCTACTGAAAGTGATTTAGCTAGCCTACTGAAAGTGATTTAGCTAGCCTACTGAAAGTGATTTTAGCTAGCCTACTGAAAGTGATTTAGCTAGCCTACTGAAAGTTATTTTAGCTAGCCTACTGAAAGTGATTAAGCTAGCCTACTGAAAGTGATTTTAGCTAGCCTACTGAAAGTAATTTAGCAAGCCTACTGAAAGTTATTTTAGCTAGCCTACTGAAAGTGATTTAGCTAGCCTACTGAAAGTGATTTAGCTAGCCTACTGAAAGTGATTTTAGCTAGCCTACTGAAAGTGATTTAGCTAGCCTACTGAAAGTGATTTAGCTAGCCTACTGAAAGTGATTTAGCTAGCCTACTGAAAGTGATTTAGCTAGCCTACTGAAAGTGATTTAGCTAGCCTACTGAAAGTGATTTAGCTAAAATTATCTTTAAAATTGATCTTAATACCTAATTTTAGCGAAGTTTTAAGATTTTGGAAAGATCTTATTTTTTTAAAGCAAAATTTTAATTGTGTGGGGTGTGGTTTAAGGTTTAAGTGATTTTAAAATGATCTTATTTTAGTGTTACTTATGAGGGTGGGTTGGAACATTTTAGGGAAAGAAGATGGACATCAAATTTGGACGACATGTATATGATGTATGTCTTTGTCTACTTCTACGTCATATAAATTATATCACTATATATATAATAACTACAGCCCTTTTTGTATAAATCAGATGGATAAATAAGTCAGGTTGTATAAATCAGGTTGTATAAATCAGATTGTATAAATCAGGTTGTATAAATCAGGTTGTATAAATCAGCCAGGTTGTAAAAATAAGTCAGGTTGTATAAATACGTCAGGTTGTTGTTTTATTTTCTGCTTATCAGCAATTCATAATTTGTGAATCCAACACTACACCCTCCAGCCCCCCCCCCCCCTCTCTTCCTCTATATCGCTACCATCCCCCATCCCCCACCCCCTTACATGGTCTGGTGAGCTGTGGTTCACGCTGTTTACATTTTACAATCATAGAGACGGGTTTGGTGACGGCTATTAGGGGCAGATAATTTAGTTTAAAACGATTTTAAACTTAGAGGAGGTAACTAAGAGAAGGCTGCTTTCACGTGGGGGGGGGGGGGGGAGGAGGGGGGTTTAGTGTTTTTAAGCAAATATTTTCAGTGGTAGCATTGGTACTGTCGAATTCACAAATTATGAATTACTGAAAAGTAGAAAATAAAACAACTAAATAGCGGCGTATGATACGCAGCGGGTCGGCTCGTTATTATTATTAGTAATAGTAGTAGTTGTAGTAGTAGTAGTAGTAGTAGTAGATGTAGTAGTAGTAGTAGTAGTAATAGTAGTAGTAGTAGTAGTAGTAGTAGTAGTAGTAGTAGTAGTAGTAGTAGTAGTCAAACAAGATTTAATACACACTTTAAAGCTAGAAGATAAAATAATTTGTCTTAAGTTATAAAAGAAGCACACCAGACATCTATATATGTAAAGTAAAGTGGTCAGGTGCCCGATAGGGCACTTCCCGACGCCGCAGGTGCGTCAAATTTGGCACGATGGTGCCTGGGGCAATAGAACACGAGGGCCGGCGACGGTTAGTCGAAAAGTCCACGGATAGGGGGTCAAAACTGACCTCGACTGACCGGCGCCTAATATGAGCTATATTACGAAAAAAACTTTTGCCTTGAAATTTTGTGAGGTGGTAGGAGAACGACTTGGGGTGTCACAAAAAACTCGCTATGTCCGGGAAAAATCGGGAAACGGGTCAAAACTGACAAGTCGTATTTCCCTATATAATCTTTGTATTTTATGGGAAAAACACAGGGTCATTTCAACGCAGATTTTAGGATACTTAAACTCAGTATATCCGGCTAATTTTTTGCATGCTCCTAGGTAAATGGCTTGACCATTAGGGAAAACTGTCGGTTTGACTCAAAGCCTTCGACGAGGGCTAAAACGTTACCGTGACTGAAAATCTCCTTATTTGAGCTATATAACGAAAGAATTTCTTGCCGAACGACT